GGGCCGGGGCGGCGGCCGCGATCCCGGGCCGGGAAGGGGGCTCTGCTGCGGGGTCTGACCGCGGGCACTGCGGGGAAAAAGAGGGGCTGTAGCTGCGGGGAGCGCTGCTGAGAGCGGGGAACGGCTCTTAAAGGGAGGCTGCTGCAAAGCCAGCGCCCTCCTCTTCCCCTTCCTCCTCCCTCTGCTGGGGATCCACCCGCAGCCGGGAGGGTGCGAGCCCTGGTATCAGCGGGGGAGAGGGAGGTCACAGCAGGGCTTTGCTCTGGCTTTGTTCACACCACCGTCCCTACAGTGAAATAAACTGCTTTATACGCCCAGCCTCCCCCAGTCACATCCTCCTCTGCCCCCCACAAAAGGTGGGTTGTGAGATGAGGGATTCCCAGTGGCCTGGCACAGCACCCAGGAAACGTTTGGAAAGTACATAAAACTAAACTCACCTAGTGTTTATTTATTAGTGTTATTTAACAAGAATTTGTTAAATGCAGGAATCTGGTTTATTTTTCACTTAAATCAATTTTGTTGGGTTTTTAAAACTGCATTAATCCTGGCTTTATTTATAATTATCCAGTATTAATAGCCAGACACGGAAATAAATGACATATTTTTTAATGATCAACTAACTTCCAGTGCAATGCCCCAAAACTCAGGCAGGTGGGGAGGGCTGTCATCCCTTGGTGCTGGCAGGATGGGGCCAGGCAGCCTGGGAATGAACTGTGCCTGCAGACCAATAACAGTGGATTTTATCCCATCTCCCACCACTGCGACTGCAAGTGATGGCAGTGGTGCTGCTTTCCTGGCATTCACCAGAATGGAACCAAAACCTGGACCTAAATGGAAAATAGCAATTGTTTGTGCAAGGAAAAAATGCTGGAAGCATCATAATGAATGAGACTGTGACTCCTGTTTGATGAAGACACGGGGGGACACGTGATTTGGATATGGAAATGTCTATTTTCAGTAGGATCAATAACCAGCTCTCCCTGCCTCTAGGCTTACCACTCCACTTTAATGGATTCAGACACCAAGCTAATTGGGAACATGGCACTGTTACCCATCAGAAGCCAGTTCAAAGGCCCAGCACCTCGAGAAAGTAAGTTTATAATAATCTCTGAATCACTGGATATAGCTCATCATCTCAGGGGTTGCTCTAAGCCAGCCCCAGCAAGAGTTTAGAGAGGTGGAAAGTTTTCAACTACTTCAGTCGTGCAAATCGTAGAAAATAATTGTGCACAGATAATTGTGCACAGATAATTGTGCTCTGTGTTCTGCTGAATTAAGAGTTTCAGTAATCCAAGCCTCTGTTTGCTGTTCTGGTGCTTCCCCCAATGTCTCCCTGTGCTCCTGAGCAGGGTTTTGAGGAGGCTGTGCTGGTGTGAGGCCTCTGTGTCAGAGGAAGTGAGGTTTAGCTACAGAGAACTCGCGCTTTGGGCTGCGGCTGGCGACACTCGGCTGCTCTGGGTGACAGCAGCACTTCAGGGTGTGGTGCTTCAAGAACTGAAATAAAATTCCAGGCACCACAGCAGGGCCCTCAGGCAGCCAGGTACAGATTCCCCTACAACACATGAACTCCCCAGGCGTGGCATTCCCCGGAATGGGTTCGAAAAGGGAAATGTAAAGGAAGTGTTTCTGGATGTAAGCAGTCTTGGATGGTAGCAAAAGTCAGATTGTCACTGTGTTCTGCTCTCCTCCTTTATTTGAAGAGGATAATGGAATCTGAGTGATTGTGCTGGTGTGCTTTCTTCAAAAACATTTTTTCCTATCATTTCATGATGTTAAAACTCTGATGAGTTACTCAAAAGTGGTAGAAAAGTGGGGAACTGCTGAATTGCTGCTGTTTTGTCACAGGGGAGGGAGAAGGGAGAAGCTTAAATATTACATACAGTCTGAACTCGTGGTGTTTCAGAAGTTTTCTGTTATGTGGTGCTAACTTCTGCTTTTTTTAAATACCATGGTTTTGCTTTTGCAATAATCCCTATGTATTTCAGTGAGTTATGACAAATGTAGTGTAAGTTCATTACTTAACTCTGTATCTCTTTTTTATTAGCTAAGGACACAGATATTATAGATGAAGCCATCTACTACTTCAAAGCTAATGTTTTCTTCAAAAATTATGAAATTAAGGTAATTTTTTGAGATACTGAGCATATTCTAGTTCTTTGGAGAGGTGGTGCTGTGATTATAAATTTATTTTCAGGGAAGTAATTCTAGAAGATCACAAAAACTCCCCTTCCACTTAATCTTTAAAGCTGGGTAAATGTCATGAATTGCAATTCTCTCTCTCTCATGGGGAAACTATAGCCCAAAATGGCTTAAATTCATTCCTGTTTAAGAATTTATCAGTTCCACAAAGTCCTGTAATCTAAGAGTTCCTGCTCTTGTTTTGCAGAATGAGGCTGACAGAACCCTCATCTATGTGACCCTCTACATTTCTGAGTGCCTGAAAAAGCTGCAAAAGGTAAGAAAACCGAATTTCTGTGCAAGTGGGAAACAGTCTGTTCTGAGGATTGTTCTAAGGAAAGGATTGCCTGATATTCTCCTTACTGGGGAACAAATAATCCTGTTCACCCCAGTCCCAGTTGTCAGAGCCTCAAAGACTCCAAGGCCGTGGATGTGCTGTTTTGATCTTCTTGATGAGTTTTGATGTTCCAGATTTGTAAAATATTTGTGTCTGATGCTGTGTCAGCTTTTGTTCATAACTGCTAACCCATTGTTTGCCTGGTTCTTCCAGTGTAACTCCAAAGGCCAGGGAGAGAAGGAAATGTACACACTAGGAATCACTAACTTCCCAATCCCAGGGGAGCCAGGCTTTCCACTTAACGCCATTTATGCCAAACCTGCCAACAAGCAGGAGGAAGGTAAGGCTGACCCAGGGCCTCACACTTTATTAACTGCACTTTTGTGGCTGCAGTTAGAAAAATTACTGCTAAAACTAAATGTTCTAAATCTGCAGTCTGCCTTCTGAAGGCAGCACAAGTTGGATTTTCTGACCTTGAGGATTCCCCTGGTTCCATAAATTGGGAAAATCAACTCAGCCAGCAGGGAGTCCCTGCAGATGTGAAACTCCCTGTCTGCTTTAAGCAGTGATGTCTGATGCCTCCCTGTTAAATCCAGTTTGAGTTGGTGCTGCCCAGTTTACCCTGGTTTTGCTGTGCTGCTTTCAGAGGTGATGAGAGCCTACCTGCAGCAGCTGAGGCAAGAAACCGGCCTTCGCCTTTGTGACAAAGTGTTTGATCCTCAGAGTGACAAGCCAAGCAAGGTAAGAGTTCAGTGGCATCACCACAGAATTAATGAGAGGTTGGGGGTGTTTTTTCAGCCACGTGTGGAGAGAACTGAGATGATGGGATGAGGGTCAGGGGTGGGTAACTTCAGCCAAGCCTGTCTGATTTTACAGTGAAATAGCAGCTGCAAGTTATCAATAAATTTAATCTAATGTGATGTGACAGTGAATGCCAGTTTGGGTTACTTTCAAAAGCAGGGAAGTAATAAGAGGTGTCTGGTTCAGCTCTTCAAAGCACTGCACATCTGCTCTTGGCTGAGGTTGCAAATGGAGCTCACAAGCACGAGAGGTGCTGTTTCACTTCCCAGGCAGCTCTGATTTGAGAGCTGCTTTGAAGTCGATTGTTTTGCCTCATATCCAGATTGAAAAAATCGCTAATCAATGAATGAGTCACCTCCTGAGTGTTCACATGTTTCATGTGCAAATGTGACTGCATTTAATGTCAAAATTACTTAGGCTAATTTAGTTTCAAAGGCATTGCTTCCTGATGCATCCCTCATTAATGACTGTATTGGGATAAAATATAATAAAAGTAAAATAAGAGAAAGTAGAATTTTTCATTTTAATTCAAAGTCCTGTAATATGAACTCATTGTGTCCATTCCTGTTGTCTTGTTCACCTCAATTCCAGTAGAAACTATGTGTAAAATGGGAGGCTTAATATTTGTTGTGTGTCAGAGATTGAATACTTTAAAGTCAATGGAAACCACTTCTGCAGATTTTCTGACTCTCTACTTCCTTCTGCAGTGGTGGATCTGCTTTGTGAAGAGGCAATTCATGAACAAAAGTCTCTCAGGCCCTGGGCAGTGAAGCAAAGTGGCAACAACTTTAAACATTTCCACAGCAAGATGTTCAAGTCTTTTGCCTTTGTTTTGGATACATTTTGTACCAAGGAAGAATGAAGTGGTTATGAAGTAAAAAAAAAAAAAAAACAACAAAAAAAAGCAGAAAAAAACCAAACCTGTCAATGAGTGATTAGAGGGAGGGAGAGAGAGCAAACAGTTAAGTTGTGTAAGCAAATATTATTAAGCTGGTGCTTAATAAGTGATTTCTAACGTGCTGTTTCAGATGCAAGCTGCTTTGTAATCGTGGCTACAGCATTTAAAACAGGGCTTGTATTTAAGAGAAGAAATGGGCTTGGTTGTGGGGCAGGGGAGCTGTGTCATTGCTCTGCTGGCTGGAGTCTGGGTGTCGTGTGTCCAGGGAAAACAGACCTCTCACGCTGTGTTGTCCAGTGCAGTGATTTTTACCTTGTTTTCAATAAAATTTGCTTGTAATTAACGTGGTAACTACTGTGTGTCTTATGGACAGCCTTCAAAGAGATCTATGAGGTTTTGTTTTGGTTGTTTGGGGTGACCTAACTGTGGCCTTCCAGGACTTGAAGGGAGCTAACAAGAGCCTGCGGTGCCAGGACAAGGGGGAATGGCTTCACACTGACAGAGGGCAGGTTCAGATTGGATTCTGGGGAAAAATCTGTGAGGGAAGTGAGACCTTACCACAGGATGCCCAGAGAAGCTGTGGCTGCCCCTGGATCCCTGGAAGTGTCCAAGGCCAGGCTGGAAGGGGCTTGGAGCACCCTGGGACAGTGGAAGTTGTCTCTGCCCATGCGTGGAATGAGATGATTTTTAAGGTCCCTTCCAACCCAAAGCATTCTGTGGTTCCATGATTACTGTGTAACTTAATCACTAGGATGTGAATCATTCTCACTGAAAACTGGGATTAATACAGGGTCTGCAGTTTGCAGCCATTTACCTGCTTATTGAACAGTTCATCTCCGCAGAGCTGTGCTTCCAAAATGCCTTTACAGGGTAACACAGGCAGATCCCACACAGCTGGGTCTGTGGCTGCCCTTGTGATGGTGCATTCAAACACTCACAAACTGGTAAAAAAGCGGCTCTTCTCATGATCTCTGGAAAAACACAAATCCACTTTTAGTTTATTCAGGTTTAGTTCCTTCATGGCAGGACTTGTGTCACAGTCACTACACAGCACCAACACGCTTTTAGTGTTACCTGAAGCCCAGTGCCGGTGATGTTTTGCTGCCTGGTGTATTTGTCTGCTGAGAGCTCTCCCAAATAGCAGTCATGGCATATCCAAACTGAAAGTTCTCAGTGATTCCATTTTTAGGAATAGTATAGCTATGTTTTAAAATATTTTTGTAATAAAGGTGGGAAAATAAAGTTTATAATTCATCTCTCAGTCTATCCTTGTAGTTAATGGTAGGCCTAGTAAGGCATTTCCTAGAATAAATGTAGGTTTTGAAAAGTCTTTCTCCTCCGTTACCAATTTTTATAGGCAGGAGCGTCGTTATCTCAGAGACCACAGTCACATTTAGCTGAAGCAACCATCGGAAGCAGAAGACCAAGGGGCGGACTCGGGAGCTGTGGAGGCACTGTGTGTGTGTGTGTTTTGCACCTGAGCACACACAGGGGTGCGCATCCCCATACACGGGTGCGGATTCCCTCACAGCGGCGCCCGGACCCCGCCGACCCCTCAGGCCCTTTCCCGCCGCCGCGGGGGGT